CTTTTTTCTCAGAATTCTGACCTTTTTTCTCAGAATTCTGACCTTTTATCTCAGAATTCTGACTTTTTTTATTGTTAGAATTCAGTCAGAATTCTGAGAAAAAAAAGTCTGAATTCTGACTGTTTTCCCATACTATACTGAAATAAAATTAAAAAAAAAATCAGTTAACTTTTTTTTTTCCCCAGTGGCCCTAATCCTCTTCAGTAGAAAGCAGTTGGGGTGTGCAAAAATAATCGTCATGACGATGCATCGCCATTCTAATGTTTGTGATCTACTGCATCGTTTCTTGACGCCAAGTATCGATTCTTAATTTAAAAAAAGGAATAAATAAAATACATGATTGGTTGGCGCACATCAGCCAAAAACAAGTGGAATACAACTTCCAGTCCAGTAGGTGGCGCTGTGGATGTGTTGACACCCGCTGCCTTGTGTCACAAGCATTTCCGGCCGCGGGATACTGCGACGAGTCATTCATAAAGAAAACATTCGCCCGCCTCCGTCACATTTCAAGTCAGATGTTTGGATGCATTTTGGCTTTAAGAACAAAATTGATATGATGCACGTAATTAGCAAAATTAGAAAATGTCATATATTTGAATGTTTTCATTTCATTGGTTTAAAGGACCGCTGAGGCCATGTAAACACATGTGAACACCAGTCCGACCATCCTGTGCATGTCTTCAGTTTTCATGGTGAATTTTGCTGGTCATATTCAAGAAAAATGAAAAACAATCCACTGGACTTTTTTCCCCAAGTTTTAAGACGTTTCGTTTCCCATCTAGTAAGCTTTTTCAATTTAAAATGTCAGGAAAAGAGTTAAACCTCAAACTCAACACTACTCCTGACATTTTTCAGCTGAAAAACTTTCCTGGATGGGAAGCATAACATCCTTAAACTTGGAAACAAAGTCCAGTGGAATGTTTTTAATTTTTATGGTGAAGTTTAGCCACAAAACAGGCACGTCCAAACTGCAGCAAACATTTCAGTCTGCAGAGATAATCATAAAAGCTGACCTTCCCTGCATTTAAGACCTTTAAAGGTTGCAGGTCAGGAAAACAGACACCAACATCTCAGCAGAGCTCACACATCCTGGACACAAACTTTTACCTTCAGAACATTATTCACTAAAATCAGCCGCCTGAGAGAGTGATTCTTCCCCCAGATTATCTCTGACAGACGCCTTAGAGCCCAATTAGTCAACTACTCCACTATGAAACAAGTAGATATAAAGACAGACGTCCCTTTGGGTCAATCTGCTTTGCACATTAAGGAAAGTCTGTCGCCACCATGGAAGAAAACCAAAAGAAAAAAGAGGAGGCTTAATTAGCAGAGGCAAAACACAAAGAATATAAAAATAACTGTTAATGTAGGAAACCAAAGTCCATCTCATCGTTTGTCCACAGAACCTTTGCCACTAAAGCCAACTGTGATATTGACAGAAAATCAGAGGGATTTATGACATCACATGGATTAATTATTAACAGCCGTAGTCTAATGTTAGAAAGACTGTCACCGAATGAAGTGCAAGTCTGAAACAATCAGCTTGTTTTGTTGTTTATTTTGCATCAACAGGAAGGTAAACAGGTGTATAAATACGAACAGCTCTTATTAAACATTGAAAATAAACTAAAGCCTCTGCTGTTCCTCTGAGTTTGAGGATAGAATGCGTGATTTTAAATTCAAAGGAGCAAAACATGCGGAAATAAACGCTTAATTTAATATGACATATTAAAGAAAATCCCCATCAGCATCCAGCATATGTTCAGTTTCTCTACAAATATTTGTTGTTGTTGTTGCGGATTGTTGTAACGGGGATAATTAGGATCATAAATGTTTTGTAAGAACTATGTTTGTTCTCTGCTTCCAAACTCAGCATCTCTTCATCCATTCCTGCAATAAGACGTTTCATTTGAAGCTGTCAGATGCACTCTTAGAATTTTTGAATGGATTTGATGTTACTTTTAAGCTTCTCGGTATAAAATAAATATTTTAATGGAGATGAGAAATCGAAAGATTTGTATTTATTTTTTCCTGTTACAGATGGCAGTTAAAACTGTTGTTCCTACGGTGTGATGTCAGAGTCACCATCAGCTGTGCAATAAAACACCAGAAGGGTTTAGAGCAGGTTAATAGAAAATAAACCGTTGCTGGATGCAGTTTAATCTATTGTTACAACGCACAAAACTTTCTACAGATCTGGACAAAGACGGCTCTTATATTCTTCTGTAATTTGAGAAAGTCACTCTGCATTGTGTGTTTTGCTGCTCTGGATAAAAAAAAAAGACTTATTAAGATTTTAATACTTGTTTTATAATAAACTGTTTTGATTTTTCATGAGTCAAAATGGTCTAAGTGTTTATTCATCTAAAGCAGGCTATTTCCTGTATTTTGAGGTGGAATGCAGCAAACTTTTTGTCTTTGTTTAAACACTACTTTTATCCTGGTTGTGGGAAGTATTTCTGCTTGACTAGAGGTGGAAATTTCATAAGGAAGATGTGAGATAATATTTAGTTACAATATTATGTTTCATCTGTTAATTCAAGCAATCAGAAAGTGTAATTCTAGTTTCACACCATACAGCATCAAAAAATGCCTCCTGCTTCATTTTTGATGCTCATCCACATTAAGGTCAGACGTCCAGTTAATTGTGCTTCTGCTGCTCCTTTGTTCATTGGCAGAGAGCGGCTTTGCTATATTTGCTGTGATCAGTGGGTAAAAAGTAGTTTCATATATTTTTAAGTGAGAAAGTCCACCTCAAAATATCGTCAGTTCATCCATTTACCATCAGGCCTTAAATATTACTTCTCTGTCGGAGCCGCTCAGACCCCCACATACCGGCGGCGTCACTGGGAATCAAAATATTGCAGCTCATCAGATAGTCAAATGAAACCATTTCTATAGCTGTTTTACATGTAAATAATTGCAGAATTGATAAACCCAATTGTAATTAGGGTTCAAAGCATTCCTAGGTGGCCGCCCAGCAGCAGCTGCCTCAGGCCCCGTCACCTCTGGGGCGTTTTCCTCTAATGTTCGTGGCTACTGGAAGTAGATTTCACCTTTTTTTAGTGGTACAAGCTGCAGGCACCAGAATAATAAAAGCAAACATAGATTGCTGGCAGGTTTAAAGATTTAAAGTTAATTTAGACGTTTAAGTGGAGTGATCATAGCGATCTGCATCAGCAGCACCCAAGATCATCTTCTCTGATTGGATGATGTGTCACATCGAGCATCTGCTGCTAGTAAAATTTTAGAAATGTTTAGATGAAGTTTCCTGGGAAAAATTAGGGTGTACAAAAGCTGTACATCCCAAAAACATGGTGTAAAATTTGTTTTGTTTTTTAGTTAAGGGCCAACAATGTGCGCCCGTACGCATCGCTAGCTAAAAGCCTGATCTAAAGCAGAGTTTCAATTTATATTCCTTTATTGGAAAAAGAATATATATAAAAAAACTTGTTAATATGGTAACAATGTTTGATGTATATTGTTTAAAATTGTTTAGATAAACAAAAATTGAAAAAGTATGGTTTATATAAGCTATAATAAATAAATAAAAAAAATAAAAAACAATGTTTGATATTTTTGTATAACACAGAATATCAGTTGTTATACTAAAGTTGCTCTTAATAAAAATAACTAGTGTTTATGGATTATGAATACTTAAAATTTAATAATCTAAACATTTTATCCTGAATATGGCGGAATTATATTTAAAAAGAAAGATATAAAATCAGAAACAGCAGAACTGTCCATATTAATTATGCTAAAAACAGTGAAGAACAAGTAAATTGGAGCTTGATGATGATGATGATGAATGAATGCAGAGTTTTGACTTATTTCTTTGCTCACCTTGATGTCGGTGTAGGAGACTTCCTGTGGGCGGTCTGGACCCTGACCCGGTGTGGCCACGACTGTCGTCACCTTCCCAATGTCTCCTAGGAAACGAGCAGCACAAGCTTTGTTAGTTGATTATTAAATTAGGGATAAAGAGTTTAAACTGAAAGAAATCCTACGCTAAATAAAAGCTGTGAATTAAAATGAGCTGTTAAAATAAGGATATTATGCTGTTAATCCAGTATCCTGGACCTTCTCTGTGCTGCATGTAGAAGATGTAGGCTAAAGACAGCCCTTTGGATGGATGTCAAATATACACACGCCTCCGAGAAGGGAATGGCAGAGTTCACATTCATGTGACTAATTAAACTGGAGAAGGAGTCACAAAAATAGGCCAACGTCTTTTTGCTGAAGAACCGCGTTCAGTGGCGCCAACAAACTTTAGAAAAGATTATTCTGCTAAAGAATCCAGGTTAAAAGGAAAGTCTGAGGTTGTTACTGATTTATTGATTAAACATTTTATTTCCAACTGTACCTGATCTATAATATTAAAATCAGTCAAAAATCCAAGCAGGTAAAATACGGATTGATGGACTGATGAGTAAGATTCTATATAATTAAAAGACATTTTATAATTTATTACCTAATTTCAGTGAAAATAGTATTTATATTTTTATGCATATACTTCTTTACTTATATTTTCTTCACTTTAAACAGTTATGTGGCCAAAACAGATCCCTGCAAATATTACAACCAGCTGATGACATTTTTTGATTCCGCTAAACTTATTAAGACCAGGACTGCAACTAACGATTATTTTGCAAATTGATTAATCTGCCAATTAATTTTTTTCGATTAATCGATTAATAATCTGATAGCCAAATGTTCCTTAAAGAAGATTTTTACAAAATTAAACCAGATGAAACTAAGAATTTCCACTTGAGGGGTTCTGGATAGGACACATTGACAGACAAAAAGGTTGTTTATCTTAAATTAAAAATGATTATATACAATTTTGATATAATTACTGCTCTAATTAGGTCGCTCTGTCAACTTAAGGGCTCTATACAAGTTCACAATAAATCGATTACTAAATTAGTTTAAGATTATTTCAATCATCGATTAAGCCGATTCATCGTTTCAGCTCTAATTAAGACAAAAACTTTTAAACTGATATCTGCTTTTAGCCTAGCGTTGCTATTTGCCTACAAGACAAAAGATGTAAGATAAATATTTCAATAACATCTGAGTCGTGCAGATTAACAGAGCAGCAAATCCTCATCTTAAACAATAACATTTTAAGAAACATCTGTTTTCAGACTCAAACACACAAACTTCAACCTTGTTTTTTTTTTTAGCTGTAAAAATCATCATTTTTTCTAATATATTTCTGAAATACATTAGGAGCTAAATTGTAGAAACACCCTTTTCTGCCAGAGGAGCCCTGATAAGGTATTTCTCCTCCTTTACCTCTGTGAAAACATTCACCGCCCAGTACAGCCCTGGTCTGCTTCATATTGTCTCCTTGGTTTTGTTTTCTGTCTGGTTAAACTGGGTGACAATAGATTTTCCAAAGCTCATTTGTGCTGTTTGAACATCACTAAGAAACCACGTCCACATACTCGATGCTTTGTTTATTAAACAGACGACATGCTCTTTGATGCGTTCCTCCTGTACATAGAGGCGGACATCTTGGTGTTCTTGTACATCTCTATAGTAAACGCTCATCAGTCCATGAGGCGTGCTGGTTATCCGATAGCTACAGTGGTGGCGGCTATCGGTTACAGCTAAAATTATGAGGCCTGCACGTTGACCGGGTCACTGAGTTCATCGCAGGGTTCATCCGCTGGGCAGTGACCCAGAGAAGATACCCGAGTGAAGTTGGCCCCCCTACCTGATTAAAAATCAGACAAAATTGGTGTCAAACGTTTGTTTCTTTATTATTCAATCAAAAAAATATATATATATTTTCAATGAAAAAAAAATCTTCAATGAAAAAAAAGTATTTGAATGCAAAAATATATTTGAGACTCAAAAAAATACATTTGCTTTTCTTTGATTGAAAATGTTTTATTTGATAGAAGTGTGTTTTTTGTTTAAAGCAACTTTTATAATTGAAGTAACATTGTTTTTTGATTGGACCATATAATGGGTAGGACATTTGTGTCTTTATTAGTCAATCAAAAAAGAAGTTGCTTCAAACAAACAACAGAATCAATAAAAAAAAAGTTACTTCAATGAATTCAATGATTGAATAATAAAGAAACAAAATAATAGAGAAACAAATCTACCTTCATACTGGTTGACCTTTTGGATATCTTCAAAGCCAAAGCAGCACAAATGAAAATTTATGCTGCACAAACGGAGTCGAGTTAATTGACACCCATTTCGTCTGATTTAAAGAAGGTGGGGGGGGACTTCGCTCAGGTACAGGACAACATGTTAAAGCCAACTTTTCTCAGCATCTGTTAGCGTCCCGTTTCATATATCATAGCTCTCTTCTGTAATTTTTAATATGCTGACACATATCGTATATCGGCCTAATCCCAATCAAATAGCATATTTAAGGTTCGAAATAGACAGAATGCTTTTAATGTGGTCGAAAATACTTTGCTACGGTTGAAACTTGTGCTCAATGCAGACAAAACTAAATGTATGTTTTTCACAGACCTTTGGAACAAGCCACTGAATGTTCCTTCAGTGGTTACTCTTGATGCACGTGAAATAAAGATTGTTACAACTTATAAGTATCTTGGTATTGTTATTGATGACCACCTATCATTTAAGCCTGATGTTCACCGTCTAGTAAGAAAGTTGAGACTAAAATTGGGTTTTTACTAGGGATGCACGATATAATCGGCCCCCTATCGGTATCGGCCTTAAAACTGAATATCGGACAT